GGGCTTTTTGTGAGGCCACAACATGAATAAAGGCAGTGAGATGCCACTGGAGAGGCACAGGGACTGTAGGTTTTCAGCAGCACAAGGTTACTTTCTCCCCCAGGAGATAAAACCAATGTGGCTGCCAGAGAGCACCTGGCACAAAATGTACTTGACCTGTGATGACAAACCAGAACCCTCCAGTGAGGACAGCTCAGCATTCCACCCTCAGCTCAAGTCATCACATGTATCTTTTGGAGGAATAAAAGCGGACTGAAGCAAGAAGGCTTGAGAAGACAGGCAGTTTTGTCAGCTGGGTGAGGGCAAGGTAGGGCATATATGAAATTTTTACACCCAAGTTCATTATTCCCCAGGACCAGTCATTTAATTATTCCTTGCTTTAGTTTCCCTAACTTTAAGGTTGAGAAGTCAACACGTTGAATAGACCAACATGCTGGTTATTGAATGCTCACAAAAATGTAAAGCCTGCAAGCCGGGCAATGTTGGCACACACCTTTAATATCAGCACTCAAGAGGCGGATCTCTGTGAGTTCGAGGCCAGTTGGTCTACCGAGCTAGTTCCAGGATAGGCTCCAAAGCTACAGAGAAACCCTGTCTCAAAAAACCAAAAAAATAAGTAAATAAATAAAATCTAAAGCCTGCAGACACTAATCAGAAGGAACTATTTTAGGGCTGGGGGTGGTTGCACACACTTTGAATTCCAGCATTCAAGAGGCAGAAGTTGGATCCCTGTGAGCTCAAGGTCAGCCTGCACTAAGTAGCAAGTTCTAGACGACCCAGTGTGACACTGTGAGACACTGTCTTTAAAAAAAAAATGTGGGGTTATTGTGATAATTAAGTAAAACAAATGTCAGTTTTGTGCTTGACATACAAGTGTCAGTTCCTATGATCACTTCCTCAAAGACCTTCCCTGAATCCCCATCAAAACTCAGTGTGTTCTCAGATCCTCAGGCAATAAGAGGGCTGGGGGCGGGCAGGGAGAAACACTTGCCTAAGGACCTGAGTTGATCCCTAGAATGCTTACAAAGGTGGAAATGAGAAGTGACTCCACAAAGTTGTTTCCTGACTTCCCCATGTGAACACATACACCCTCATCTCTCACACAACATAATTAAATAGAAAATCTGTCTTTAAAAAAAGAACCAAGACCACTCAGAACTGGCATGAAGACAAAGAAACATCTGTGGCAGAGAACAGAGTTGAGACACAAATCCACATGAAGGTCAAGTGTTGTTCAACAATAGAGCAGCTTCTACCATGGAGACAGGCTCCCCAGCAGCAGTACTGGGGCAACTGAACAGCCATAGAAAAGAAGTACCAATACATCACACAATAATGAATTACTGGCCTCTGCAGAAATGAGGCATGCATATGGCACACATGCCTGTAAAACAGCCATACATACAAAATAAAAATACATAAATCTTATTTTTAAAAAATAAAGGTGGAAGCCGGGCGGTGGTGCATGCCTTTAATCCCAGCACTCTAGAGGCAGAGGCAGGCGGATCTCTGTGAGTTCGAGACCAGCCTGGTCTACAGAGCTAGTGCCAGGACAGGCTCCAAAACCATAGAGAAACCCTGTCTCGAAAACCAAAAAAATAAAAAAAAAAAAAGGTGGGCCAGTGGTGACACGTCTTTTTTTAATCCCAGCACTCAGGAGGCAGAGGCAGACGCCTCTGTGACTTCAAGGCCAGCTGAGTTCCCCAGAACACCCAGTGCTATTACTCAGAGAAACCGTGTATCAAAAAAAAAAAAAAAAAACCCAGAAAAGAAGAAATCAGAACTGAATTGACTTATGACATTGCACAAAATTGGCTCAGATTAAAAGGACTGACAGTACTAAATTCGGCGAAGATATGAACAAGCGGTATGTAATCTCAGAGTATGGCTGGAAAATAGACAGTGGCACACAGACTACAGTGTCTATAAAAAGTAAATACAGCCATTCAACTTGTAGATGGGTACTGAAGAGAGCTGAAACAAACCCAGGACACCTTCGCAGCAGCATTCACAACATCACGTGAGTGACAGATTCTAGAAACAGCCAAAGGTCCATCAAGAATGGTAAGTAAGCCGGGCGATGGTGGCTCACGCCTTTAATCCCAGCACTCGGGAGGCAGAGGCAGGCGGATCTCTGTGAGTTCGAGACCAGCCTGGTCTACAGAGCTAGTGCCAGGACAGGCTCCAAAGCCACAGAGAAACCCTGTCTCGAAAAACAACAACAAAAAAAAGAATGGTAAGTAAGCAAGCAGTTCTATAACAGGATGCTGCACAACCAAGCAGCAACAAGTAACTGAACTCTAAGACAGTGTGGATGGCTCTCAGAACAGGTATGTTATGTTGGGGTGTGGTGGCACACACCTTTAATCCCAACACTTGGGTCACAGAGGCAGGAGGAGCTCTGTTTGAGGCCAGCCTGGTTTACAGAGTGAGCTCCAGGACAGTCAGAGCTCCACAGTGAAGCCTGGAAAAACGGAATACGTATGCTGCATATAAAAAGCACAGCCTTGTGATGGCTCAGTGGTTAAAGGCACCTGTTGACCACCCTGACAATCTGAGTTCAACCCCCAGGACAACCTGGGCAAGCACAGACCCTCTGATCTTCATATACTCGAAAAACTGCATGAGCACACCAAATAAATGTTTGTTTTTTTTAAAAAAAGGGTGAGACAGGGCTGGCAAGATGGCTTGGCAACATAGGCACTTGCTACCAAGCCATGACATGGGCCACACACACAATAAGTAAAGGTTAAAAAAAAAACTTTCAATAATAAACTATCAGGACTCTCCTCCCAAAAAAAGAGTCCATATTGTCTAGTTCCATTTACATAAAATTCTAAGAAATGCAAATTAACAATGGTCACAGCAGAATAGTGGTCAAGGGAGAACAAAGGACTGGTAAGAGTGAGCTGTGGAAATCTCAGCAGGAGTAATAGATACGTCTGTTATCTTGACTGCCATAACAGTCTCCCAGGTGTGCACAAAAGTCAAGATTTACCAAATTGTACGCTGAATTAGAAGCAACTTATCTAATAAAACTGATTTTAAAACTAAATAAAACAAGCTCCCACAGTGATTCAGTCTGTGATGCCAGCACCTAGGACGTTGAGGTCAAAGGGATGTGGTTGGAGGGTAACCTGGACAACACAGTGAGAGAGGCCCTGTCTCAATTCATCAGCCTCACAACTTAAAAATAATACACAAGGGACACTTTGTGTGTGTTCGGCTCCACAACGTGACCTTCAGGAAACACTTTTCTACAATAGGTGCAAGAAGTGCCAGGGCTGAGAAGGGATAATTCTATTCCAAACTGTCATCCCGACCACTTGCTGCTTACATGGTGCCCACACAGCCTTGCTTCTACACTAGGAAGCTGAACAATGTAGGGTCTATTACTCCTTGCCCCTCTCCCTACCCCCAGGGCCGTCTTTTTGTCTCCCAAAGCAGCAGATTCTTACAAGTCTGGAAGAACAGACAAGAGGGACAAAAGACTCAATGACTATTTGACAGATTAAAGAATAGACAACTGTTTTATTTAAAAGCTCCCCGAAGAATTAGAACATCTGAGTTCTATACACTGCTCTGCTGAAATGGAGTTAGCTATTACCCGGATCTGCAAGCACATGCCACGAGACCTGTTCAAGTCACTCATTTCCTACAAGTTTTCAGTTTTCTTTTTTTTTCGACGTTTTTTGGTTTCTGAACCACGAAGAAATACCATTCAGGTGTATTTCTGAGGGGCTAATATTTTGAAAGGTCTCTTTTTCAGGTACACACCAACAGCTTGAAACCATTTTTCAAATGTCTCAGTTGGCCATAAAACTGAAGCGTCATGGAAAAGAATAGACAATGGGTCGTGTGTGAGAGTGGTCTGGAGACACAAGGAAACAGCCCCATCCTTATTTAAAAACCAGAGGTCACCTCAGTGTTTAGCAACAAAATTATAGCTTCCAAATAATTAGCAACAGTTACAGAACAATAACAGCTACGTAGTAATTAACATCTAGATTCTGTCTTCACCACTTCCGAGGGTAACATTCGACAATGTACTTAATTCTAAAAACTCAATTTGTTCATCTTTTGTTGTTGTTATTGTTTGTTCTTTTGTTTGTTTTTTGAGACAGGGTTTCTCTGTGTAATAGCCCTAGCTGTCCTGGAACAAGTTCTTGTAGACCAGGTTGGCCTCGAACTCACAGAGATAATCCTGACTCTGCCTCCCAAGAGCTGGGATTAGAGGTGCGCGCCACCACCACCACCGCCGCCGCCCGGCAATTTGTTCTTTAGTACGGGAGACCACCGCTGACCTCTTAGGAATGCGGTACCAAAACGTATTAGGTTGGCCTCTACTAAGAGCAAAGTCAATGTCAGCAATTGAGTCTTGTTACCTTGAAGTTTCAAAGGGGCCCATTAACTCACTAATCCTCCTCCAGACCTTAGCTTCAAATCCTGTCCTGTCACGAGCACGTTACGGGGGAGCCTCAGTTTCCACATCCGTAAAACGGGAACACACTAGTTACTGGAGGGAAGGATTCCACGACCAGATAAGGTTCCCCTCCCTCCCACCTTTCAAAGAGAGGATCACAGGGGTAGGGAATACTCTCATAGGCGGCAGACAGAGTGAGTTTTCCCACTTCGGGCACTTAGGGGCGAGAGCGAAGACGCAAAAAGGGGGCACATAATGTGTCCCGCCTGAGGGCCCCCCGGTGGTCCAAGCGCCTCCTCGAGCGCACGGGGTTATTTCGGAATCCCCAGGAGACCACGCTCATGAGGCAATGGGTCAGGAATGCGGCGGCCGGCCGAGCCGCGGGTGTCCCCACGGGCATCCCGGGCCGCGGGAGCAGGAACTTGGGGCGGCAGGAAATGAATGGGGACCCGCGGGCGGGGCAGTGGGGCAGCGGGGACGCTGGACCGACGGCGACACCGGGTGTACCTCCCTACGGCCGGACAGATGGGAGGCGGCGGAGACCCAGGCCGCGGCCCGGCCCCTGCGGGCGGCTCACCTCCGCGATGTCATGTTCCTCCCGCCTCCGGCTCCGCACGGACCCGCTGCTCGCTCAGGCTCCGCGGGGCGCCGTCACATGGGGGAACCCGACCGAGGCCCCGCTGGGGAGCCGACACCGGTGCGGGCAGAGCCGGCCGGCCGCGTTCACTACCCCCGCCAGGCCTGGATCCCGGACACTGCGCGGCCGCCCCGCCGCCCGGCTCGCTCCGCCTTCGCCCCGCCCCTTGCCGCTGGCGCTTGAGTGACGTCAACACCGCGCCACCTCCACTTCCTGCTTCCGGTTTGCCCTGCCCGGGGGCTTCCTCCACTAAACTTCACCGGTCCGTGGGAGGCCATTCCTCCTCTAAACCTAGGGCGCCGCACGCCAATGGGAGTACACCGAGTGCTTCCAGTGCAGGTGATCAGGGATAAGGAGGCAGCTCAGCGATCAAGAGCGATTGCTGCTGCTCCTGCAGAGGACCGGAATGCGGTTCCCCATTCCTATAGTGAGCGGCCCACAACCTTTAACTCCAGCTCCAGTATCTCCGCCGCCCTCTCCTAGCTTCGCAGACACTGCACTCAACCTGCACACACTCGTACATATACACATAATTAAATGTTTTAACATTTATTCCTTTTGCCTATTGGTGGACTTGCACTCCTTTAATCCTAGGGGGTCAGAGATTGGTGGGTCCCTTATAAGTTCGAGGCCAGCCTGGTCAGTCAGAGCTATGCAGAGAAACCTCTCGAAAAACAAACAAAAGCAGTGTCTAACTAGCTTAACTGCTGAGCCTCTCCCGCCGCCCCAATGGTTTGCTTGGGGGTGAGAGGGATGGATTTTGTTGTTGTTGTTGCTTTGTTTTGTTTTTAAGAAAAGAAACAACTTATGCACTGTGACCATAATTTTTCAGTTTGAAGTAAAAGTTAAAGTTAATGCGAATTTCTCCGTTTTTGCGGTTTCACCCACATCCGATTGCCAATCTTGGCAGGCGTTGTATCGTTTGGTTGGTTTGTTTTTGTTTTCCTAAGTTAAGATTTTTCACTTAAAAGAAGCACTTCATAACTTCTCTTCAGAATGTCCAAGTTGTTAGTATCAGTACATTACGGCGGTGGGGGGGGAGGTCTGAGGTTTTCTTGAACAGCTGCACCTTGAAGCTTGAAATTAAAACTGATGAACTAGGAGCTGCACAGATGGGTGAGCAGATTGGCGAGCTAGCTGCTGCTGCAGAGGACCAGGTTCAATTCCCAGCGCCCACATGGCAGCTCACAACTATCTAACTCCAGCTCCAAAGAGTCAGAGTCCCTCTTCTGGACCCCTGATCAGTACTTCTGGAGTTTTTCAATTAATAACTTCAGACTGCAGTTGGATGTGGATAACAGAGAAAGAAAAACTCTGAAAAAGTAGGAAAGAGTAACCAGCATGACCATTATTTTTTCCCTTTGTTTTTTGTTGTTGTTGTTGTTGTTTGTTTGTTTGTTTTTTGAGACAGGGTTTCTCTGTGGTTTTGGAGCCCTTCCTGGAACTAGCTCTTGTAGACCAGACTGGCCTCCAACTCACTGAGATCTGCCTATCTCTGCCTCCAAGTGCTGGGATTAAAGGCACCTGACACCACTGCCTGGCTTTATTTTGGTTTTATGAGGCAAGGTTTCTCTACAGGGTCCCGACTGTGCTACGTGGACCAGGTTGGCCTTGACTTCAGATATCTACTGCCTCCTACACACACACACACACACACACACACACACACACACACACACACTGCTGGGATTAAAGGGATTAAAGGTGTGTGCTACTTGCCGGACTCTGGCCATTTCTTTTATTTCAATTATTATTGTTACTGGGGGAGGGCCAGGGGGCATAAGCATGCCTCAGCTTGTGTTTGGAGATCAGTGAACACCTTTCTCAGGGTCAATTCCAGGGATCTAACTCAGGTCAACAGTCCTGTGCTGAAAGCACCTTTATTCCTGGAGCCCTTTTGCTGCCCCATATGACCATTCTAAATGGGGTAGTTAGCATAGGCTTTTCTTTTTTGTTTTTTGTTTGTTTGTTTGTTTGTTTTGTTGTTGTTTTGGTTTTTCAAGACAGGGTTTTTCTATAGCCTCAAACTCACAGAGATCTGCCCACCTCTGCAGCACTTTTCTGGGATTAAAGGCCTGTGCCACCACCGTCCAGCAGTATAGGCTTTTCTGAAGTGACATTTGAATACATGTCTAGCCAAGGAGCAATCTGTGAGGAATAATTTAGCAGAATATCAATTCAAGCACAGAAAGAGGCTGCTGCAAAGACCCTGTGGCAGAGGTTGTCTCCTGTACTTGGAAAACACTGGAAAGGTCTCTGTAAAGTGGAGAGACAATGAAGAAACACGAGGAGCTGAGCTTAGAAAAGGGTAGATCTAGGCATGGTAGCACATTCCTTTAATCCCAGCAGAGGCAAAAGGATCTCTGTGAGTTCAAGGCCATCTTGATCTACAGGGAGAGTTCTAGGCAGCCAGTGCTACAGAGAGGGACATTTTCTTAAAAGATGAATAAAGGGAAGGAGAGAGTAGTCGAGTAGTCATAGGCTTCAGTTCTATAGGCTATCTGTACCTTTGGTTTGTACTTGGGGGAAATGGAGTATCATGGTGATAGTGAGAATGGGTTTCTAAAATTGTCCTTTGACTTTCACTTGTCTACACACCAGCACTCACACACATCACACACCCATCATATACACACCTACATCATATACTCACACACACCACATACACAACACACATCATACATATTGTTGGACTCTAGCATCCAAACACCGAGGAGGAGTCACCCCCAGAGACCACCTCACACACCACAGTCGATGCAAAAGCATGAGGATTTTTATTAATTCTGTCATAACAGGGTCCCTCAGCATTCGGGAAGCCGAGAGTCCTCGAATAGCTGGCACAGGCTACTTTTAAAAGAGAAGGCCACAGAAGCAAGGGGGTTGTTCTTTGACTATTATGATTGGCTTATTCAAAAGGGCTATTACCAATAATTGGCTGGAGAGCTGTTGCCAGATCAGATGAGGTAAGAGGTCATTTTGACCCCGTTTCCCAGGGAACTGAATCAAAACATACGAATATGGGTAATTGTTCAGGAACTGAGTAAGTGCGAGTGTAGCTGTTAGGTCCTTGGTTCCCAGGGGAGGAGGGGAAGCACTACGGCACGGAGGCTGAGAGGATTCAGAATTGTCAGAAATGACTTCAGAATTGTCTTAAAGTCTTAACAATATCACATACATATACATATCATACACATGCACATCACTCTCACACACAAAACACATCAAACTCACACATTCACACATCACACTCACATCACTCATTCCCACATACACATTCCTATACATACCACACACATCACATTCACACATACATCACTCACTCACATGCACATCACACATACACATTCCACAAACATTCCACACACACACACATACACACCAGACACTGACATCAACATACACACATACATCACACACTCACACACAAATTTAGAGCCAGGCACAACAGTGCACATGCCAGTGGTCCCAGCACTTGGAAGGTGGGAGCAAAAGATCAGAAGTTCAATGACAGTCATGGCAGTATAATAGTTCAAGGCTAGCCTGGACTATGAATGATCCTGACTAAGATGAACAATAATTTAATTGTTTTTATGCCAATGAATATACATAACATATTCATAAGAAGTGTTCAAGCAGTTAATGTGGGCCATGGATGTAACATTAGCACCTGAACTCTTAGGCCCACAGATGCACCATTCCCAACTCTTCACACAAATAAACAAATAATCACAATCCAAGTGGTTCTTTCTTTTTTTCATTCTTTCTTATTTTCTTTTTCTTGCTTACTTACTTTTTTGTTTGTTTATTTGTTGGGTGGTTGGTTTTTCAAGACAGGGTTTCTCAGCTTTGGAGCCTTTCTTGGAAACTAGCTCTTTCAGACCAGGTTGGCCTTGAACTCACAAAAAATCCACCCGCCTCTGCGTCTCAAGTGCTAGGATTAAAGGTGTGTGCCACCACTGCCTGGCTTTGTTTTGTTTTTCAAGAAACAGTTTCTCTGTGTTACAATCCTGGAACTTGTTTTGTAGACCAGGCTGACCTCTAACTCACTGGGATCTGCCTGCCTTTGCCTCCCAAATAGTTTGCTTACTTTTGAAATAGGGTCTCAGGCAATGGTGGTGCACGCCTTTAACCCAGCAATTGGGAGGCAGAGGCAGGAAGATCTCTGTGAGTTCAAGATCACCCTGGTCTATGAAGTGAGCCCCAGGACAGCCAGAACTGTTACACAGAGAAACCCCGTCTCAAGAAAAAAGAAAAAGAAAAGGAAGGAAGAAGGAAAGAAAGAAAGAAAGAAAGAAAGAAAGAAAGAAAGAAAGAAAGAAAGAAAGGAGACAGCATCACATGTAGGCCAGAATAGTTAGCCTCAAACTCAAGACAAGCCAAGACTAGCCTTGAACTTCCAATCCTCCTCTCTCCACCTCCCAAGGAGCTCTGGGATTATAGGCACACATTTTCAATGCTTAAATAAAGTCGACCCTCTGCTGTGCTGTTGAGGATGGACCCCAGAGCCTGTCACACACTAGTCAAGCACTCTACCACTGAGTTACAATGCCGGCTTCAGTTTCTTCTTATAATTCCTTAAACAATACAGGGTGACAACTATGTTCATTGGATCAGACACCATACATCATTCAAAGAAGAATCAAAGTATATGGGAGATGGGTACAGGTTCTACACCTGTGCCATTTTACATACAGGTTATAAACACCTTTGGGATTCAGTCTTGTGCTGGGGTCCCCAGCTCATCTCCATACACGCTGAGGAGTATGTGATCTCATCTGCAGTGCAGCCCCAGTACTCTCCACACTGAGTCCTTCTCACTGCCTTTAGGGTACGGTCTAAATTTTTGGAATAAATACATGGTCTAATAAACCCAGCTCACTTCTCCACTCCCTTACCTCCCCACCACTCACCTCTTTCTATCTTGACACTGAGTGTCGTCAGTCCCCACCCCCACATGCAGTGAAACAATCTACTTCCTGTCCCTGGAGGGTTTTTCCCCCATAAGGACCCAGGTTTCTGCCTTTAACCTCAGACTGGAGGCAACTTCCTCTGGGATAAGAAGCCTCTCCTATCTTCGTGGTGCAAAGACAGCTGCCCTTGCTTAGGACTCCTTCCAGGAATCTAAGAGGAAGGGTCACGGGAGTCCTGCATCTGC